AAACTAGGGTCTGGCTTGGATTTAGACCAAGAAAACTCCTGGCTTGCAGTACCCATGTACACAAACCCCATTCATTGCAATTGCACACAGCCTTTTATGATTTATTATTTGAACTGTGGTAGTACCTGAGGCCCTAAGTAGGGACTATGCCAGGCATTTTTGCTTACATGTTGTAGGTTTTGATTTGACTCATCTCACAAATGTGATATTCACCATTTGCAAGCTGCTTGCTCCAGGGTGGAAGAAAAAGGTCTTGACACATAAGATTAGTTTTGATTATATTTCGTCTTTCAAAGCTTCTGCCAATTGTCTGTATAACTCGATTCTCTAGAGAAGCTCCAGATTTTTCCTTTCACACGATATCCAGAAAAATGGAATTTCCCTTTGATACACAGAGTACAAGTCCAGAACAATGGCTCAAGTGGAAATATTTTCCACTTCATTGTCATTGTCTATTGAAATACAAGTTAAAAAAGGACCCTATCCTGAAATGAGAGAATAACCCTTTCAATAAAGTTCAAGTGATTTATTAATCCCCATAGAGGAATTTTATTGACTAAAGTTACCAATGCATCCATCCTTTTAAGATTATGGAGTTGATCCAAAGTGTGATGGGACTGCTATTCTATATAACCTAACTCAGTGACCTGAAGTATAAAATTTTCTCTAGAACCATCTGTTTTCTTCTCTTGCCAAGGGGATTTCACAGTGCTGGTTGCTTTGAATAATTTTAGACTTGCAAGACTATCTGACTGGCCCCAAAGAGGAAATCTATTGAATAAGGGCAGGAGGGATATTTTTGTTCTTTGAAATAAAACAACTACTCCCTGCAATAAGTAACCATGACTTAGAAAAACAGTGTAGTATTTATTTGAATGTTTATACGTTACTAAATTTCTCCTTGAATTCAACTTGTAAAAAGAAATTAGAACATTCCAGATGTACTTATAATAAGAAAATGGATGCCATGTCAATTTCTGTTATCATATCAGATTTAGCACATCTCATTTTATCTATGTCCTGGTTTGAAACAACATAACACCCAAGCAATATAGTTAGGCATTGAATAAGTTATGTTCTGGTTAAAGATGCACAATGAGCATAAATTCACTTTAGTCTGGCTGCATGCCTAGTAAAATTCTCTTCTAAAGGGTTACCATGGCTGTATCTAGTGGTATGCGATGAAATGACTCCTGTATTCACTTTAATAATGCCTCTTTTTCTAATTTTCTAACAGCCTGAATGATAAGAGTGGTAAAACCAGCCTCTATTAGTCTTGAAGCAGGCTTTCCCTCAGCACAGCACACTTGCAGTTCTAAGGAACCATATCTGCCTCTGTAACAGTGGGAACTTATTGTAGCACCATTGTCTTCTGTAACCTAAAAAGCCTCGGTCTCTTTCAGTCTCTCCATGCACAAGGGACGCTGTGTCAAGTAATTCTTCCTTAACACCCCTGTACTTTTTTGCTATCACCCCTTTCAAAATAAACTGGAAAGAACCATGTTATCGCAGATGATGTAACTCATGTAACCTATACAGTAGCATTAGAATATTTTTCAGAATTGTGTTTCATGCAGTTGCCTGTTCATTGTGATATTGGTTGCTACAAACTAAGCAGAGGATTTTTCAGATGTGTCCTCGGCAACACCCAAGTCATTTTGCTGAGCAGATGGAGTTACTTTAGGACCCAGTAAAGTGCATATAATGTTCAAAGTCTGCCAATAACTTTTAGGATAGCTCACAGTTATCATCCCTGATTTTCATCTGCCATTGAGCTACCTTGGTCTCCTAGCTTTTTTTTGCCAGGATTTTCAGAATTGTTGCCAATCTTGAGTCATCTAAATAATTTTGCCACAGTTGCAATTTTTTCCTAATTCTTTGCTCTTGTTCTCTTTCCCAGGCAGCCTAGCCTGCATTCTGATGGGCAGAAACCATTTCAGTTTAGCATGACATATAGTCATTTGAATGTAATTGTAGCTTGGGACAATCAGGTATTTGAGTCCCCGAGGCCACTATGTATTCTTCTTTTGGAATGACCAAGGTGAATCATTCTCAGGAGTTGGCATCTGACTATTAAACATTATGTTCGGCACTGCTGCTTGTGCCATCTGTTAGGCTTTTGTGGTATACCAGCTCTCTAATATAGCAAGAAACAGGAAGAAGGAAACTTTCATTAAGAAAAAGATGCTGTATTCTAAACAGGATTTCAAAGTACACTTACTGTTACAGGACATGTAAGCAGACTCCTCGGAAACAATTGGTGGACATGATTTTTATCTTGGTCATCCTGTCATGATCCATCCTGTTTTCAGTGAAATTTGAGCAGCCTGTACTTTTATGTGGGATGGTGTGCAGTATACTTAGGGCAGCTGAGATAGTGATCAGCTCCAGTGTGGTGTTTGCTGTTCTCATTGTGACCTGGTAGAAGTTAAAAGAGTTGGTGTATAGTGTACTGGACTGGCTTCCCAGAGCCTTGGGTTCTATTTCCAACTTCGCTACTGACTTTCTGGGTAACCTGGGCAAGTTATTTCACCTCCTAGTGCCTCAGTTTCCCTATCTTTGAAATGGGAATACTGTAATTATAGTCACTTTATGTAAAGTATGCTGAAATCTAGCAAAGAAAAGCACTGTATATGATCTAAGCACTATAACAGTCTTCATTGCAACCCTCTCTTTTCAATCTTGTGTGACTCGCTTTGAAACTTTCCATGCTCATTTTGTGCCTTTTTATTCATACTTTAATGAAATACATAAGCATTAGCAGAATGAAAATATACAGTCAGAAACTGTAACCATCCCTACAGCAAAGACAGTTTGGAATGGGAAACTAGAGGAAAATAACATGGGAATAGCCCTCATGGAGGGAGGACATATCTTTGATAAAATAAAGACTTAGTTTTCATTTGAAAATGATAAAACGACCATGCTCACGTTTTTTCACTGAGTGTCGTTATACACCTATGGGTGACTGCTCTTCAGATTTATGCACAGCTAAGAGGGCTTTTCAGTCAGCCAGCGTGTCACTAAGGGTCAGATTGTTTCACCTGGTGGGCATCTAAGTGGACTTCCATCATCTAAGTGGAGTTCTATCCTCTTTAAATCCTGCGAATCCATTAATATATCTATTTCTGTAATGTACTGTACCACCTTTTGACCCTTAAGACCCACAAAAATGAAGCTGGGAAAAAGAGTGGAGAAGGATTTACTCACTTTTTACATTGACTGTTTCCAGGGACTTCCATCAGGTGGAATAGAATTGCACTCTAGGAACCCAACTCCCCTTATGCACATAATAGGTGGAATAGAATCTGGCCCGTCCTCTGCTGAAGTCCCCAAGCAGAACTAGGACCTGTCCTTAGTGCCTCGGTGATTGTGTAAAGTGTAAGTGGAGTGGCCAAGGCTCCAGATGGGTGGGAGGGAGCCCAGCTCTGGAAGGAAAGTGAGCGAGAGATGGGCTTCCTCCTAAGGTATACAAAAATAAATTATTCATAGGTACATAGTAGGTGCTTTTTAGCTCAAGAAAGTTCAAACCTTTTTGATATATTTAATTACATGATCACATGCTATTTCTCTGGTATTAAGACTCTCATATTGCATATTCTTGAGGGCCAGAGGTAAGAATACATATATACCTTCAGTTCCTATCTGAGCACCTGTACAGCTGTCAATTGTATGACTTTATTTACTTAATGTACACATTCGGTATGGACTAGACCAATGGTGCCAAACCTTTTGGCCCTGCAGGCCAAAATGGTACAAGGCTAGTTTGTGGGCCAGATTGAGCCCTGAGGCCTGACATGGTCCCCTCCCACTGCTGTATGCTGGAGTTAGACCTTGGATGCCTGGCATCACTCCCTTTTGCATCAGGATTGGGCTCTTGGCATCCAGCACCACCCCCTCCCACCCCCTGCATTCTAGGATTGAGTACTGGGGCCTGGCACTGTCCCTGCCAGCCCTGCACAGTGAGATCAGGACTCCAATCCACTGCATGTGGCCCAGGGCACTCCATAGGTTTTGAAACTTGGCAGCCAGGGAGTGGTGCCATCACTCCCCTGCCCCCAATTTCTGGACCCATGGGGAGCCCCACATGTTGGTTGATGTGGCACTGCAGGCCCTGAAACAGACTTGTGCAAGGAGTATGAATATACTTGAAGTCTAAAAAGATTTCTGAATTCATTTTGTAGTAATAAAAATTGGCAAAAATATGAGACAGTTACATTTATTGGAGAATTTTACATTAAATTTCAAGATTTATTTAACTGAAACTTTGAATTTGGAAACAATTCTACCAGCTGTACTACATGATGGTATGTTAATAAAAAATTGAACAAGGAGGGTGTTACTTCAGAAACTGACATTAACAGTGACACACACGTGCATGCATTTAGAATTTTCCATATTTATTAAAATACAAGAAAAGGTCCCCCCACCTACATTCAATGATGGAAGCCCATCGTCTTGGATTCAGGTACAGAGTTGGAGGGCAGGGGGCTGCTGTGGTTCTGGCCCCAACCCACACTCAGTGTTAGAGTTGGAGCTGTGGCCTCTGCCTCTAACCCCGCACTGCCTCTCCCTCCCTGCCTTCACCTCTGTTGCCTCTGCCCCCTGTGCTACCTCTTTCCCCTGCCTTCCCCTCTCCTCCTTCCCCATTGCTTGTCCTCAGTCATGACTCTGACTCCACTTCCTGCCCCACTATGCTGCTTTCCCTGCTGCAGAGGTAGGGGGATGAATTGAAACCAACCTTCTAATAATTAGAGTCTAAGACACAGCAAATATAACAAATGTATATATTTTCCATGTCTAGAATCTAATTATTGGGTATTCAAAGCAGTCCTGAGTTTGGGTAAATGTGGATAGCCTAGTTCCAGTGTTGTTATGATTCTCCTGAAGGATAAGTGATACGCAGCTTACTGAACATGTATAACAGGTCAAAATATTTACAATTGTTTTTCGGTAAAGAAGTTTGATTTGGATAACACTTCTTCCCATTCTATCTGCAGGTTGGAAAACACTTGGAAGCTGGCCAGAGAAAGCTACCATGTTGAAATTAAGTAACTCCTCCACCTTCCCTTCAGGCTTTCATCTTTTCAGTATTGTGGCACTTCTGTTGTTCCATGTGGACAAAGTGCTGGCAGAAAACCCAAGTGAAGAGCCTGCCAATAAATCAGAATGTACTGGTTCATATATTTGCAAGAAGGGCATCATTTTACCAATATGGGAGCCCCAAGACCCTTCATTTGGTGATAAAATTGCGAGAGCTACAGTGTATTTTGTAGCTATGGTCTATATGTTCCTAGGGGTATCCATCATTGCTGACCGCTTCATGTCCTCTATAGAAGTCATTACATCTCAGGAAAGGGAGATAACAATCAAGAAGCCCAATGGTGAGACGAGCAAAACCACAGTGAGGATTTGGAATGAGACTGTTTCCAACTTAACATTGATGGCTCTGGGTTCTTCAGCACCTGAGATTCTTCTTTCTGTTATAGAAGTGTGTGGTCATGGTTTCACAGCAGGGGATCTTGGGCCCAGCACCATTGTGGGAAGTGCTGCTTTTAACATGTTCATCATCATAGCAATTTGCGTCTACGTGGTCCCTGATGGTGAGATAAGGAAGATTAAGCACCTACGAGTGTTTTTTGTTACAGCAGCTTGGAGCATCTTTGCCTATACTTGGCTTTACATTATTTTATCTGTCTCATCTCCTGGGATTGTGGATGTCTGGGAAGGCTTGCTTACTTTTTTCTTCTTTCCCATCTGTGTGGTGTTTGCATGGGTGGCAGACAGAAGGCTTTTATTTTACAAGTACGTCTACAAGAGGTATAGGGCAGGCAAGCAGAGAGGCATGATCATTGAACATGAAGGCGATAGGCCATCATCCAAAGCTGACATTGAAATGGATGGAAAAGTGATTAATTCCCATGTAGAGAACTTCTTGGATGGTACTCTGGTTCTAGAAGTTGATGAGAAGGACCAAGATGATGAGGAAGCCAGGAGGGAAATGGCTCGGATCCTGAAGGAGCTGAAGCAGAAACACCCTGACAAAGAAATAGAACAACTAATTGAGCTAGCCAACTATCAAGTCCTGAGTCAACAGCAGAAGAGTCGAGCCTTTTATCGTATTCAGGCCACGCGATTAATGACTGGAGCGGGCAACATCCTGAAGAGGCATGCTGCTGACCAAGCTCGGAAAGCAGTCAGCATGCATGAGGTCAACAGTGAGGTGGCGGAAAATGACCCCATCAGTAAGATTTGCTTTGAGCAGGGCACCTACCAGTGTCTAGAGAACTGTGGCACGGTTGCACTGACCCTCGTTCGGCGGGGTGGCGATCTGACTAACACAGTGTATGTTGACTTCCGAACAGAAGATGGCACAGCCAATGCTGGATCTGACTATGAGTTTACTGAAGGGACTGTGGTTTTCAAACCAGGGGAGACGCAGAAAGAAATCCGAGTCGGCATAATCGATGATGATATCTTTGAGGAGGATGAGAACTTTCTTGTTCACCTCAGCAATGTGAGGGTAAGCTCCGAAGCCTTGGATGAGGGCATTCTGGAAGCCAACCAAGTAGCA